GACAATCTTAGTTATAGCACTGCAATCTATATTCACATTGATATAGTTCCTGCTACTTCATAGACATAAAAGTCTCCTTCTAGAAGTATCAAATATATTTAGAATGCAATTATTAACAAAAATTTATTGATCTAAAACATCTTTCCTCACGTTAGAGGGAAGATGACAAGAAGAAAAAGAGTGAAAAAATGCATTACGGAAGAAGAACGAAAAACAGTGGACAGAAAAGGAGTTGGCATTTTTATATACCAATAGAATGACAATATAATTTATTTAAAATGTTAATAAATATACTTCGGACATGCAAATGCGGAATCTAATATCAATAAATCAAGAACACAATGTTCCTGTTTTCTAATAAAACAAATTGTTTAAGAAATTCTGTAGTTTGAACAAATTTTTTAAAATAAATCATATACTTTATGAGTACATTTACAATCTGGATTTTAGATTCTACTCAGTAGCACAAGATAAAATATCGTTTATAAATACGTGCGTTTTATTAATCATTTACTTAAACTGTTTCTATTTCAACTATAGCTTCGTAATACTGGTCATTTTTCATTCTGAATTCTGTCATAAACAATTTATTAACAACACTACAATAGTGATCTTCTTCTTCTTATTTGGCACTACAGTCCATTATGAACCTTGGCCTTCTTCACGACCTGCCTCCATCTGACACTATTTACTGCTACTCTCTTCCAGTTCATACAATAGTGATCATTGATAGTAATTGTTTATTTCGCGGTGTAACGTCTCAATTACTATAGTGATCATTAATAGTAATTGAGACGAAATAAAAAATAAATAACAAATTTTTTGCAAGACTTGCGTGCTAAATGACTACTCGAGGTCAACGGTCTAATGCGATATATAATCTAAAAGTACGTCTGTACTTAAGAAAAGTACGCATTGAAGACGGAGCTCTATTTATTCATTATTAAAAGTATGTGAACTAATGACAGAACGTTATTAGCACGAATACGAACTTTAGGTCTGACAAATACATATCGTGGTTATGAGCAACAGTAGTTGTAGTGGTGGCAGAGCTTTCTGTTCTATTGTAATAGTACACAGATGCTGTTTTTTTGCCGTACATCCTGGTATGCAATTTTAAGTCTTACTAATTTCAAAAGATTTATATAATATTTTTATTGTCGATAAATTACATCTGGGCGGTTTAGATTTAGCTGTGTTAAATATATTTTCTTTTTACTGTTTCAATGGAAATGCTGTGCAAAAGAGTTCTTGGAATTCATGGTCCATTCTGACAGCTAGGTTATGTGATAAGGTCGGTAGAATAGAAAAACTTTTCATAGGTGTAGCTTTCCAGTACACACTTTCTTGCAGTCTAAATGTAAACAATGAAGACCTGCTTTTCATATTAAGATATATTGAAAACGTTAAGTATGACGTTGAGAGTGACATATTTTCATAGCCCTTGGTATATATTAGGCAAGTAACGATAGTATACATTTATAGAAAAATTTAAGTGCAAAGGCTCCAGTTTTTTCCGATATTCCTTTCACAGGAATTAAAAATACGCATACTTTTTACTTGTTCTTCTACATTCAGACTTATAAAATAGGTAATATAATATACATCTGGATATATTTCTGGATATTTCGCAGATCATTCAGCATTGATAACTCAATACCAGTCAGTATGGATGGTTTTTAGTTTTTGTAGTAAACAATAGCGCAGTATTCACTCAGATTATTGCTTGACCTCTACTAGTATTTTTATCCTTAAGTTAACCCGCTGTTTCTATCACGATGGCACTCGTCACATGTGAAAACATACCCGTGTGTTCCGATTTGAAAGAATTTTATTAGTATAATATCTGTGGCAATGAGCCAAAACAAAGGTGAAAAAATTTTTTTTTGTGAAGATGTTTTGTTCACGAATTGATAATTAAGTGTTTTTTGCAGCTTAAACCGACAGTATCATTTTTTTGGATGATTTTTTGGAAAAAACTCTCTTTGAAGCTTTAGAGCCAGGTTCATATCGCACCTTATCTCATGTAACATATAATGATATAATGATACAAAATCGTTTCCAAACGTCGCAGATGTTTTTGACAAAAGAGTAGTTGAAAAAGTTTTTGTTAACCTATTAGTGAATATTGTACACTGGATCATCACTGATATAAAAATTTTAAAATATAACTTGTTATAAATCGACTATCTCCTATAAGTTGTAGGACTTTAAACGCAGTTTGTGGACGTTTTTCATAAAGGAATCAGCCTAAGTACGAACCACTACTTTTTAAGAATAACTTCACATATTTATCAAAAAATTATGAGTTTTTTTATAAACATTTTTATGCAACTAATTTATTTATTATACAAAGTTCAAAGGCTTCTTAACTACCAAAGGCTTCTTAATATAGAACGAATTTAGAAAGCGAAATGAAATTTTAGTTAATATATTAAATTAGAATATTACTTATGCCGTTTTCGATTGATAAATCTGGGCTAGTTTTTTCAATCGAGATTCTCTTTTAGTGAAATTTTTATTTTCGATTGGTAAATCTCGAGTAAAATACATAAAATTCGAGATTAATTTATAACACTCTAGATTTTTTTGCCAGAGTAGCAAGATTACACGGAAATTAACAGCTGTTTTATATGACTTGATAAATAAAGTTTGATTGTATTCGACGTATGTATTTGTGACAAATATAAATGTCTACTAACACTACAATAAAAATGTTAGATTACTGTAATAATTGGGTAACCAAACTTGATAGATCGAGAGTAAATTTAGATTGAATCCAGATTTAACAATTGAAAACGTCATTAGTGCTATGATTGACGAATAATCGACGTTCCGTTTACTTTTTGAACAATCTACTCTATTTAAATTTTGTTGTTCAGGGGAATGACAACAAGAAATATTAATGTAAATATAAATAATATGGTTTGTTAAGATATTACTAGTCAAACCACCACAAATCATTTCAGAAGGAATGTTTTTTCATTATCCAACAACAAGAAATTAAAGCGATAACGGCTGTGATGTTTTATAAACAAATAAATTGAAATTGCAGTTATATATTGTTAGCTCATCTGTCTATTTAAAAAAACTGGGTTCAAAACAAATCGAAAACAGGAAACTTCATTTTGTACTGTCTAATTTATGTTGACTTGTTAATTAATCACAGTTTTTACCATAAATATCATTACCCTATTATTTTGTTTAATATTAAAAATAATTTTCAAGACGTCGGTATACACTTTGGTGCTATCTGAATAGAACTATACCGCTATACAGATTCGTTACGATCATACTCAAACGGAAAAAGATATAATCTCGAAAATTAATAATTTCAAAAAAGGGCTAAGCAAATAAACTTAAGTGAGGCCGGGACGCAGAAGAAAATTATAAGTATTCCCGATGAAGTTCCGCGGTTGAAACGGTCTGGCACATGAGGGGAATTATTTTTAGTTCGTGCAAATCGGACATAACAATTTTTTTACTGCATAGTGGATACATTAAACATTTTTAAACATCCTCTTTTTTGTGACTACAACTTAAAAAACCTAGTTCAGAAAAATTAAAAAAAATTTCTTAATATTCCTTAATTATTATAGAAAAGGAATAGATGATATATCAATATCGCTATTGTAACCCAATGAAGCAAATTTGGAAAAACATTTATTTGGAATTTATGACATAATCTTCCAGCATATATATGTCTTTTTATCAAGACAATTAAAAAGGGGAAAGTTACGGACTAGACAAAAAGTAAACATCAAACTTAGTGAAAATATCTGATTATTTGTATATATTTATAAGGAATGAGCTGTAGTTCAAACCTTGCAACACGGAAAATAACAAATCATGTCCCATAAATATTCCAAGAATAGTTATTGTTATCCAAATTGAGTGTTACGAATATGAGTCCTTCATAAGGCAATGTTCAGTATTTTATTTTAATATAACCTGATTATTATTGACCACTAATAATAACCGGATTAATAAAAGCAGAAAATAAATAAAAATTTTTATATACGATATATAATACATCGTATAATATTTGACAAACTATGACATCCCTAAAAAGACTGAAAATGATAAGAAGAATGTATTATTGAGAACTAAATTTTTCGGACATCATGTATTACTTATGTTCAATATGTAAGACCAGCGTCAGCGTGAAACTGAATTGATTTAAATGGAAATATTATAGGAGATGTTGCAACAGATAATCACGGGATAACTAGATAAAGGGGCGACTGTATTTTAAATAGTCTTTATACGAGTATTTAATTTTTTAAAGTCCAAAGGATAAAGAATATTGATAATTCACTTTTAGTGAACCTAGCTAGCAATTCGCTTATATTAAGAGAAACCTTAACCTTCACACTATTAATAATATGCTTTATAATTATCTAATTTCTTTAAAATGTGCTCATTTGAAAGGCTTAAGTTTATACCTTAAATGGAGTTTTGAGGGTTTGACTTTATAAATAATACTTTTAATTTATAACTCAAGTTGCATTGTAGTATTTTTTTATTAAACGGTGTGGCGTAGTCAAGAGTTTTAAGTGAAAGATCTTCATATACCATAGGATGACAAGATGAAATATTTATGCATAACAGACTTTTTGAAACTAGAACTATTTATCGGAAGAACTGGATTTTTAGTTAGTTTTAGGAAAGAAAATGTGTTAATTTCTTAAGTATAAAAAATTGAAACAATCCTTTTCTCTAAAATACGAATTTATTCTTTTGAAAAATAGTCATTGAAATTATTTGGAACAACATCCTATTCTTAAAAACCACGTATGAAGAAACTTTCATTCCAAATAAAAATATTTCTTCTCTTTTTAACGAAATTCTGGCTAGGCCATGCAAAAAAAATATAAATATGTAAAGCTTGCGGGGTTTTCAATTATAAACGTTGTTATTATGGCCGTTATTAATTATATGTCTATATAACACAATTACAGTAATTAAATGAAAATTAAAATAATAAAATCACGGATTACCTGTACTCTAGCTTCACTAAGAGCTAATCGTTGACTTAGCTCTTCTCGCATGAAAGCATCTGGATAGTGCGTTTCTTCGAATAGTCTCTCCAGTTCACTTAATTGGGCAACGGTAAAATTTGTACGTGATCTACGTTTTTTATTAGATATAGCTGATTGGCTACTACTTGTGGATTCAGGCGGTAAGTCGTTCGAAGTTTTTAATGAGTGTTTAAAGGAAATATTTTTTGGAGTGGCCATTAAGTTTTGAAATAAAGAGCATGGCGATGAACTACGATCAGAATAGGAAGTTCCTAAAATAAAGAAATATATACATGTTTATTAAATTTTCTATTCATAAGTATATAAATATTAAAAAAATTCATTGAATAATGTTGCTGTAATTTCGAAAGATTTCATTACAGTTCAGCGTTAGCAATTGTTATTATTTAAAATTAAGGGACTAGATTAATTTGATTGATGTGTCGGTATCGTGGTCAGAGGCGATCCAACAGCTACTATGTACCAATGCCTATAATATGAATCTGATAATGAAATTCTGTGGTTAAATAATTAAAAATACTGATTGTATGATCAAAATTAGTAGTAGTACATAATACTACGATTTATGTGCCTGTCAAGCTAACGTCAATGGTTGAGAAGTGTATTTTTAAATCTGTTGAGTAATTGATCATTGTTTGAGGAGTCGGCCACACATGTGCTGTTAGAATGCCCTTCGCTAATACACATACGAAATAGGCTTCTAGGAATGTGTATTCTTACTGAAGAGGCAATAAAACTATGTAAAGTAGATTCTATACTACTTTTTATTGACGCAACAGGACTTAAAGACCTACACTAAGTCCAGAAGGGGGCACAATAGACCCGACGGTCGCAGTACTACATCCCCTAACAATGATAATAATAATAATAATTGATCATTGTTTGATTTGACGAAGGTTTGCTACTGCTGTGTAGTGCTCGCTACTGAAAATAAGAGTATTTCGTCGAATGATGTCCTACCTTTTCAAAAATAATAATGCATGCAATAATGTGTACACCAGACAATGTCAGGAACTTCTTAGATAGGGACTATATAATTCATATATAAGTGAAGACAAATTTTTTTAATTTGGCAAATAAAAAGTCGAAGAAATCGAACTCGGTAACTTTAATTTGCACTACGTCGTTTATTCCAACCAATTACAGATTATTGTTTTATGGCGAACTCTTGGCAGGAAGTAGAAGTGAAGGAAGTGAAGAAGTGTAAATGGAAATACCTATTATAATAATTAAGTACAATCTATTTATGTTTTTCATAAAACAAGTACTAATATAGTTTGTAGCTAAGATCGCATGTGCAGATTGTATAACCATTGGAAAGAATGGAAAGAACTAATGTAATATAACTCTTTAATAGAATTTTATATATATAAAAGAAACCCTTTTTGTAGAGCAAACACGATATCGTTTTTCTTTTAAGAATTGGTAATGACATTTGCTTATAATAATCGACAATTTGCAATTGAATACATATGATGATGCTTTATCATATTTATAACTTCACAATATATGTTTTTTGATAGACAATTGTTTTTTCACCTGTGCAGAAGATCTATCAAAATCAATGTTAGATCAACAATTGTAGTGTATATAGATAATAGTGTAATATTGGGATTCTATATGCAGAATTACTGTCTCTTAATAGTAAGATCTGTAGTTATAACGAGGTTAGGTATGTGTTATATAGTACCCACCAAACACTCTGAAAAACTATTATTGTAGATTTTATTATTTCGCTTCTCTGAGTTTAGATATCATACAAATGACAATATTTCAGAAGGATCTACATAAGTATATCTTTTTTTAGGGTCTTATGTACGTTTGGGTTATATAGCGATGCAATGAACTTTTTTTATTTAAATTTAAGCAAATTTTAAAGTTTTGGCAAAATAAATGAAATACCTTCAAAAAACATATTTTTAATTTTTACCAGTATACAAAAGTAGTTCCTACTGATATCAAAATATTAATATAGCTCCTTTGCTAAATGTTTGTCGGTTAAAACTACATCACGGGAGTGTGATATCACTTGACAAAACTTTATTTTTTATTCAAAATCAATACAAAAATAACAATTATATGGAAACATATAATAAGTGTATAAATGATAGAAGATTCTGTTAAAAATTTTGGTATAACAAAAAATTGGGAAAAATCAGATAGCTTGACCGACCAACATAGGTATGGTATGGTATGGTATGGTAGATTAAACTGCTGCATAGAAATCTGATTTGTGAAAAAAAAACTTGAACGTACGAATAAGTTGCTAATGTTAGCTAATTGAAATAACAGGGAATGTGATTTCAGTGGTAGCAAGCGCATCAAGCCGCTTTAAAAAGCAAATAAATTTTATTTCAATGCGAGGGAATCATACAAAGTGTCGCATATTAATCTCAAAGCAGCAGCAAACTAAAAATCGAGACAGATGCAGCAAACACAATTTTGGGGCAGGTCCGAAAGAGTTGTGAAAGTCCGAACGCTGTACTGTGGGGAAATTGTTTGTTTTGGTACAAACTATTAAGTGCGCAGCAATGCAAAATATTTGCGCACTTGTAAAAATGTTTGTTTTTGCCATGCATAATCCACCCCTAAAGTGTAAATGAAGCACACACTTTAAACAAAACTTCCTCAAGCGGCATTCAAATTGTAAAAACATTCAGATTTTCAGCACTAATACAGTTACAAGGTTCTGGGATTGCCAAGCAAATTGATATAAAATTTTCAAATTTTTTTGCTGCTTACAATTTTGGTCGAAAGCTCCGCGCACCCGCACAAGAAATTTTCGTTAATTATTTATGCAATCAAGTATTCATGAAAAATACTTCAAGGTACTAAATTAAGTTTAAAAATAAACTCGATTTCCAAATAATTTATCTTGGTTTACTCCATAGATTCAGCTATATGAATATTATATGGTATATAAAACTATGTTTACACTTATAATTAACGAACCTCATTATCATTTTCTTGTATGGATTTCGTATGCAAAATGATAATTATTTCTGCACATATGTTGCGTTAATTGTGATATGCGTGAACGTACTTTAAGATAAAGCCGCAGTGAATCTGTCAAACAAAATATTTCCATGGTTTACCATCAAACATTAGTTTGAAAAGAATTACACTGAGCAACAATATATTTTCAAGTTCTCTATTTTTAGTTTGACAAAGTTATGCTTTATTATCCGACACTAATATTTGCAGATTCTGCTGTGATGATGCAGAGTTTATGGAACATCTGATCACCAACTGTGATGCATTAGGCCACAGAAGAAACAAAATTTTAGGTGTATACCAACTTTCCTCGAGATACTGAATGTCTAAATACAAAAGGATGCACAATAGATCAAGCTGGTCGCAATGCATAGAGGCCTTAGCCTGACCCAAAACCCCCCATACCATTGACCACTGACAAAGTGATGCTTACAAATGAATTTATTATCTTTCTCTTTAAAATCGATTAAGAAAGCTTATACTCAGATCTTAGAACTGTATCAATATATTAACAATTTTAGCTTACTTTACTGTTATAAAAATTTCACATTTAAATGAAAAAAATAAAAGAAACATTATTAAAGTGAAGCCATTAAACTTACATGTTTACACTTACAATTATCAAATCTCTAGAAAATTTTCGTATGAATTTTATACTATTATACATATATTGAAACTATTATATTGTACTTAACTCGATAAATATGCAACAATATGTGCCATTTTTTCACAAAATCTTTTTAAAGATGATATTAAATTATGCTTAACAGGATTGATAAGTCTAAATGTAAACACATTATAAATTTTCCATGAAATTAACATTTATTCCTACATACTCATTAAGTCAATTGATATCATGTAAACGGAAAAATTGTAATTGCTTACTTTTCAAGGATAGATATCTATAAATAAAATTATGTAGTGGCTTCAGAGTTCTTAACTGTATAAGAAACCAGTTAAGAACTCTTTACATTTGTAAAATTAAGTATAAATTGGAATCTGTAGGAGAATTTCTTTATTGTATAGGTGATTTTGTACAATTGAAATTCTGGGAAAAATTATAATTGTTGCCGTAAGACTAATTCGCAACACAGTTATCACTAAATAATTTGATTAGTATTATGCATTTATTTAAATTGCTAAAAGGGAATATAATATCAATGAAAAATTGGTATTTTTAATGTAATTACATTTCGGGACTTTGAATTATTTTTTCAGTTTAACATGAAAGTTTCAACATGTTATGGTTGCAAAACATCCATCAATTTTTAGAATTGAAGTGACATATTAACTTGATTTACTCAGTCAATCAATACATATAAATATGTATTATATTTTCATATGGCACTTATGTTTTTATAATATCATGATTTGTATAGATTTTCATTAAAAAATTAATCACTTCTCCAAGCTTCTACTTCAGGTAGTAAACAAATCTATTACAATGCCTTTATTTCAAAAACAACCAGGTGTGCATGTGTGGGAGTCTCTCATCAATATAGATGTGTAAGTGATACTCAGCACTGACTTTCGATCCTCAAATATTTTATTAGCAAAAAGTATTTTACCAAACATCATTTTAACATTGAACTTATGTATAGGATTAGTGGATTGAAGAGTTACCAACTACAGGCAGGTATATCTGTCTAATTAATATTGCCAACTATATGAAATTCATACGAACGATAGTTGTTTATATTGTTTACAAGCTACCACAAGCATTTGCGTCTAAGTTTTGTAGAACAAATGTTTTAGTGTGATTGCGTTATATTTGGCTGGATAATCACAACCAGCTATTGTTCGTGAGCTCAAATACCTCAAAGTGAAATAAACGTTTGTGCATAGTGACATAAATCATTATAGTAGTATAGGCAGCGTTACTAAACTCTATGGCGAAATTACCTTAAATGGTTTGGAAACTGAAGGCTCGAGTTGAACGAAATCAGCGTCGTAGTGGTAATCAAATGGACATAAAACTGAAAATATCTCAAAGCAGCATTCGACGCAAATTTCAAAATGAGCTCAAGATAAAGCCTTACAAGTTCCAAAAGGCATAAGATCTTACACCAAAACAACAACAAGCTAGATTTGAAAGAGTAAAGGAGTTGTTACGCTTGCACGAACGTAGCGAATTTTCAAACATTATGTTTTTTGATGAGAAAAATTTCCCCATTGCGCGGTTCATAAGCTCTCAAAATGATCATGTTTACTTAACTGAACGCATTACCTTTCACTGCCATTTGAGATTACGAATGGC